CCCCCACCCCCACCCCCACCCCCCCTAAAAAAACCCCCCAAAAAACCAACCCCACGAATAAAAAGAGGGAAGAGTATTAGATCAAGTTGACTCCCCTTTACTTAATGGTGCATTCCTATGATGCACGAATACGGATACGACACACAGACACGACACGGACATGGATACGGGATACGATAAAATCCAAAAAAATAGGATACGGGGATACGATAAGGATTTTTTTAAAATATTATTATATATAAAAAAGTTTATAAAATTCAACTAACAATCTAAAATATGAATCTATTACAAAATAACAAGTTTGTAAATAAAAAGTATCTCAAGATGAAGTGGAAGCTAGTCCGATGACTTCTTCATTGCCTTCATCATCAGTAAACAATACGGCCTTCATGGTGGGTTCATCGACGAGATCGGGTCGGAATAGCGGAGGTGATCGAATCGAACGGGAATGAGCTGAGAGATTGAGAGAGAGGATTAAGTTAGGGTTAGGGTTTTTTTTCTTTCGTTTGAGTCAGCTGAGGATCGAATCGAACAGGAGATTTGAGAAATAGGGATGAGTTTTTTAATCGAACGGTTCGGGTTGGATTTTAACAACCAAACTCGCAACCCGAATGAATCGGCCTTTGGCGAATTCGAGCCGTATCTGAGCTCTGTTGACCGTGTTCGAACCTAATTTGACCGTTGACCCGTGTCAGACACGGATTGACAGTGTCCGACACGTGTTGTGCACGTGTCGTGACGAATCCGTGTCCGATTCGAGTCGGACACGGATTCGTGGTCTCCGGGGGCGAATCCGTGCTTCAGAGGTGCATTCTACTATCCTATAGACAAACATACCCTCATTATCCAACTTAATATTTTTTTGTTGCGACTATGTCTAAGATTTTATTCGATTTACGACTTAAAATCAGCATTTTAGTCTTGTTTTAATTTTTTATCTTCTTCTTCTTATATGTCACTAGTGTGAACACCGAGCAAAGCACGTCATATTTTTTCCTGCTACAGTAATCACGATTTTTTAACTGCTACAATATTTTTGAATTGCTGTAGTATCCACTGTTACAGTATTCCTGTGTGCTACAATGGTTTTTTTTAAAAAGCGGTGTCCATTTTCATGTTTTCTACTGTAGTATTACTGTAGTATGAATAGTAATATGAATAGTAAACTTTGGGTTCACCCATTTGTATAGAGGAGTAGATTTGACATTCTCTTTGTGTAAATTTACAACTTGTTTTAGTAAATAAAATAAATAAAAATTCATCTAACAATATTACAAAATTAGAGATTTGTTTTAGAAAAAATCTAGTCCTTAAATTTAATCTCCTAATTAAAATTTAAAATGTCATAATATAGAAATCTATTGCTGAACATTATGAATTACAAAGATGGCAGTATACTTTATAAACAAAGGAAATCTTTTAGTTAAAAAAATTATTTTTAATCTTTGAGTTAATATTGACTATTTTTTGAGAATTCTTTTACGTTATTTGTATAAAAGGTATTTTTAAATCAACTAAATGCATATAAAAAATAATTTGATTTTAGGGATGAACTTAGAAACCTCTTCGAAATTTATTCAAAATAAATAAAAACTCTAAACGCGACTTCAAATGATATAAACTAAAAGACAAATAAGGGTATTTTTTAAACTACAAATACATCATTACTAAAGGAGGATGTAACAACCCATTATATACTTCTCTAAGTTTAGCATGCTTTCAATTTATCTTCCCTTTTGTGAGAGACAAGAGGGTGTATTGTGCAATTTAGAATGTTTAAGGAGTCTTAAGCTTTTTGGCATAACCTAAATGACACGCATTGGATATGTTAAACCTTTTTTATGCTGGTAAGAGAAGTGCTCATCATGCACTGGGGAGATCATGACGCAAGGGGCAAATGGAGGGTAAGAGGACACTTGTCCCAATAGTCTTTCATACTAATAGAACTATAATGAATCTTTGTATCCCCTCTCCTTTACTGTAACTGAGAATTACAGGTAAAATTTAGAGAGAGAGAGAGAAGAAGAAATAGCTAAGGAACTCCATTGGAGGTATATTTCCTCATCTTTTTTTATTATGAGTCTTTTTTTCTTTTCTGGGTTTAGAATTAAGATAAATGTAGTTAACAAATAGTTTGGAGAACGTGACGAGAACTTTAATGGAGGATTGAGGCCTCAATTGCAAAAAAAAAGGTTTTCTTTTCAGCAAAGGCTCCTCATTGTCGGCGAGCCCATGCTAGCCACCCATGTCGTCGGGTAGGCCGCATAAAGATTTCCACCGGCTCTCTTTTCCACCGAGGTCGAAGAAGACCTACATGCAAACATTAAAAAATAATAATAACGAGAAGATTGCTGGAGAAGACGTTAGAGAAGAAAGAAGGTGGAAAACTTTTTCGGGACCCCTAAAATTGATGTAGTTTGTTTTCTGGTCCAACTAATAACAGAGAGTGTGAATACTTTAAAGGGAGAAAGATAAGACCCTAAAAGTTGTAGAAAAATGCAAATAGGTCCAACAGAGAGCTAATTATAAGGAAATGGATATCTTAGCCTAGACGCTGGAAATATTAGAAACTTTTTATGAGTCCAAACCTATGAAAACGTGTTTTGAAATGGTAAATAAACTAGTAAAAACCTTTTTAGGAGTTTTGTCTATTATTTAACCTGTGTGGACTTGGGATTGAGAGAGATTAACCTATGAGTTGATTTAAATGGAATTGTTTTTTTTACCTTATATTATATTATAGGTCCTTTTTCATATTAAGGGAATCATAACCAGACTTTGCATTGGTTAGGTGAGTGCATTTCTCACTAGTTTTTTTTCAAGAAAAAAATTAGTTTCCTATGTATATTGAATTATGAAAATTAGTTGCGTGAGAATGTTATGTGCTCTTGATTTTATCAAGTGAGAAATAGGTTTGGACATGCTTTATTGTGAAATATAATATAGTTGATTTTATATGTATATGTATATTTGAACCTAAGTGGAATACAATTAAGCTATGTTCTTCATATATACCATTTATACAAATATGAAAATTGCTTTCTTTTAATGCGATTTGTGAAAGAAGCGTTGAAACGAGTTATGAAATATTCTATTAGATACCATATGTTTATCCATGATTTGTTGTTTGTGCCAACTGAAAGAAGCAATTGATAATATATCTCAATAATAAAGAAACACCAAAAGTCCGCAATGAAGTGAAGTGATCGAATTTGCTGCAAGTATTAGGTGCACCAATTAGTGAGGTGGTCTGTTTAGCATAAAAGAAACAACCTTCTTGGCTATAAATGATGAGGCCGACAGACAACTTATGGTAAGACGAAGTGTATTGTACTCTTGGGAGGAAAATTGTTGAAGTGATGCGAATTCGCTTTCCCTTACTACTAGGCTAAAATTAGTAGTCTAAGTGTGACAAGTGAGGGGGGTATTTTCAGTGATATAATGTGTTTATCAAGATTCCAGTTCAAGTGATTAGTTGATATAATGAGTAAATTAACACTCGTTTCGTTTCTCTTGAACTTCTTATTTTAATTCCTCACATTTAATTGTGTTTTCAGTTTTATCGTATTTACTTGTGACCTTGATTTATGACCAAATCCTAGTTAATTTGCTGTCTTACACTATTATGACATGCGACATCAATCACTATTTAAATCCTATATGCTTCATAATTTGCAAATCAAGAAGTCGGTGCTAACTTACTTTAATACTAAGATTCTGATATTTATTATTTTACTAAAACACCCTAGTGCGAAATGTCGTCATTGGGCTCTAGCTCACCCCGTGGTTTTCAACACCTTACAGATTCCGCATAAGTCCTGATTGAAGCGAGAACTGCCAGCAAGGAGTTGCTAAACGTGCTTTTTTTTGTCATAATAGCCACACTTTAGTAGTAGAGTAGCAAGTGATATGAAGTATGTGTATTATGTTAAGTACTACAAGCATGGTCAAATTGAACTTGTATTTTGTATTTCTGCTCTGAACTTCTATCAATATCAAGTACTGTTCATCTGTGGTTTAAAGATGCTATGGGATCTAAGTGCTCAGGCTTACAACCATGAGACTTGTCTCATGTACGTTGCTGCTGTCATGTGATTTTAGTTTTTTTCTTCCTCCGCTGCGGTCTTGGGGCGTGACAGGAAGTCAATGTGAATCAGTCATATGCACTTTGAAAGGTTTATTCATCAAGTAAAAAAGATACATGGAGGTTTTCTGATTTTAGTGGTCACTTTAGGGGTCTTTCTGAAAGTAGCCCTTTATTATAATTTGTTTGCAGAGCAAAGCTGCTTTCTCTTGTGAGAAAGAAATCTGAAACTGGAAGACTTCTCCAATGTTGCTGATGTTTGAATGCCGTTAATATTTGTTCTAGTCAATCTAAGATAGTTCTGGATGCTCTTAATTTTATCTAGCTCATTCCTATTTTCTAGCTAGGAATATTAAAAGTTTGGGCAGTAGTCCTCTTATTTTTCTTAAAAATGTAGTTGTGGTGTTTGTTATTTTTTCCTCTCCTGGTTTTAGGTCTGTGTGAGTAATATGTTAATGCTTTTTTTGCTTGTCATCTACCTGATTTTTTTTTCAATTTTAATATATTTAATTTGGTGGCTTATTCTGTTCTAGCTTATTCACGTTTCATGCTTCCATAGCATATACTTTGAATTTTTCAGGAGCCTCAATCTGTTCATAACCGGTGGTAGACTGGTAGTTAATCTCGCAAGCGTTATTACTGCCTTAATGACAACATATTTATATTCCTGTTTGAATCTGTTATGAACAGGTACACTATATCTTATTAAATGGTCCTTCTGGTAAATGGTTCTTCAGATGTATGTGGCTAAGGACCATTGTCACCAAATGGGTATGTATCTTCACCTTTTTTTTTCTTTTTTCTTTTTTCTTTTCTTCTTCTTCTTCTTCTTCTTTTTTTCTTTCTTCTTTTCTTCTTCATCTTCTTCTTTTTGCTGGTCTTTGCTTTATTGCTTTGACCATTGTGAGGATCAATCCGCACGTTTAGGTAAAGTTATTTTCCCTTCTGTTTTTTACTTCGGCTATTTTTGGTTTGAGAGAAAATGAGAGAAAGGAAAGTAAAATAGAAGAGAAAGTGGGTTTCTACTGTTTAGTTTGAAAGAAAATAAAAATGAAAATGAAAATAATTTTCACTGCAAAAAACCCATACTTATTTTTTCTTTTCTCCTTTCTCTCCGCTGCCCAGGTGAAAACGGGAGAGAGAGATGGAATCTCTCGCTCGACGCCTCCGACTTTCCCCGATCTCTTATCCCT